ATACTTTTTTATTCTTCTCAAAACGGGATTCATATTCATGCTAATTAATTTCTCTTGCTGCTGCTCATTAATTTACTATCTCAAAGAAACCGCTTCATATTCCTTTTATTATTTTTAAAAAATTACGTTTTTATTCTTCTCAAAGCGGGATTCATATTCCTACATTATAATTAACGTCCGCAGCTAATTAATTTGATATCCGTTTAATTTCGGTTACCAAAAATTCTGAACCGCGATTACTGTCGCCTTGGCTCTTCGGCTCGCGCTTGCCCTAGCTTCCTTCGCTCATCCATTCGAGTATAAGCTCGTTAAAATTAGAGACCGTTTGGTAACTCAAATTGCGGTTTGAACCTTCCAACAGCGTTTCTGTTCTTGATTCGGACCCATTTGGGCTCAGATTGGGTCGAATTTGGTGTCGCTGGGTTCGTATTTCCGAGACGCTCAGTTTGACTGTAAGTTTGCTAAAATTGGAGTTCAGGTGCTCCTGGATTTAATCTTTGAAGTTTCCAACTTGATTTTTGCATCGAGATTCGTGCCCGATCAAGATAATTTTTGCATGACGTATCAATTGTATATACTGTTTACATATTACAATTTTGTCAACTTTGCTGATTTATTTTTTGGAGATCTTTGGGCTATATGGAATACCCAAATTCCTCACTTTTAATCATGATATAAAGGTTCGTTTGGGACAGTTTTTTTACTTATTTGCATTCATAATTTTTATTTGGTCGATATTTTTTTGCTGTTTCAATAATTTTTTGTGCCATAAAGCTGCTTTCTACAACAACTTTTAAAAAGATATTTTTTCCTCCACAACAGCTTTACAATCAACTTTATAAAAAGCTACAACCGGCCCAAATAAATCCTAAGTTTGTGAGTCATTTATGGAGAAAGAAATTTGATACTACCTTGATGCTTAGTAGTGCATAGCATCCATAAACGGACAAGTAATTGAAGTCAAAAACCTTACCCGGGCTCCATAAGTAATGCATCGTTGATGCTGGGCCAAAATTGTGAGAAATTATTACATGCGGATTCCTGACGTAGTTTTTCGTTCAGGCTCCGCACATAATAATTTTTTTCAAAATCGTAGGATCAAGCACTTGTTAAGTAGAATATACCTTTAGTATAGTTAATTGATGACACCAAAATACCAGTAGTTGAACTACTATTACTTTAGCTATTATAAGTAAACAAAAATGTTGAACACATAGGAGCTAAAAATTTGACACCTTCACTAGGAAGTGAGGCAAAAACTTGAAGAAGCTAATGGAAAATACAAACTAGCCGTTGACTAGCACTGCCGCCAAAAATTCTTCAGAGTGATCTTATCATGATTCATTTCAACAAACACTGATACCCATCTACCAATTACTACAAACTACAAGCTAAAAAAATTTGTCCATCCCAATAGAGAAGATGCTCGGCAATGATGCTTCCATCATGGACTTGCTTTACCATTTGAAAATCTCCAAGACTCTCATTGTCAGAGACATCTTTGAATTTCATCCTCTGATGAAGCCACTGAACTCAGAGTAGAGTTCTTCAGAATGTCAAGAGGATTGATGCAGTGCCTATGGCACAATCACCACCACACATCAAATATTTAAATGTAATTACTCATTGTTTAATTTTTTAGAATAATTAATATAATAATTATGTGAGACGTCGCAGTAATTATTTAAGTATATATATTTAATTATATAAACCATTAAGTGGTCCATATATTTGAATTATTGAAATTTAATTATTTATATGAAATTCTATTGGTCAAGAAGAGATAATTTAATCTATCGTTTATGGACCGTTTGATCAAATAACTCCTATGAGCAGTTATTATAATTAATCTGTAGGAAATAACTACCAGTCTTCTCTATCTCTCCATTATGAGAGTTAGTTTGTTCCATAGAGAATTAACTCATGAAAGAAGAAAGTGAAAGGTGAAAGCCGCTACTCTCCATGGCTAATCGTATCTATAACTCCATCTGCTCTTCCATCGGCCTGCTTGTGCCGGGTGTAAAGGCCTACGACCATTTTGTCCTACGGGATAGTGTGATCGTATTCTTTGCATTCGAACCGCACGAGTGGAATCCTTTCGGAGACCCACACCAATGAATTAATGAATAAAGAATTATGTGTTTATTGTATTTACTATTTACAGATTACAATTTTGTCAAATTCGCTAATTTTGTTTTTTTTAGAGATCTTTGGGCTCTATGGAATACCCAAATTCCTCACTTTTGATCATGATATTAAGGGTTTTTTTTTTTGACAACTTTTTTACTTCTTCGCAATCATAATTTTAATTTGATTACTGAATTTTTACTATTTTCAATATTTTTTTGTGCCATAAAGCTGTTTTCTACAATAACTTTTAAAAAGATATTTTCTTCATAGCAGCTTTACAATCACCTTTATAAAAAACTCAACAAATCCTAAGTTTGTGAGTCTTTTATGACTAGTGTTAAGGAAGAAATTTGATACTAACTTGATGCTTAGTAGTGCATAGCATCCTTAAACGGACAAGTAATTGAAGTCAATAACCTCACCTGTGCTCCATAACTAATACATCCTTGATGTCAGGCCAAAATTGTGAGAAATTATTACATGTAGAGTCTGGACATAACTTTTCGTTCGAACTTCACACGTAATAGTTTTTCAAAATTTAGGATCAAGCACTTGTTCCAGTAGAATATACGTTCACAATATAGTCAATCGATGAACAAGGCGATTGTCTTTCTCCATTATCTACACCAAAATACCAAAGTCTGTAGTTGATCTACTATTACTATAGCTATAATAAGTAAATACAAATTTTAAACACATAGGAGCTGAAGTGAGACAACTACACTAGGAGGTGAGGCAAAAACTTGAAGAAGCCAATGGAAAATACAAACTAGCCGCTAACGAGCACTTCCGCCAAAAATTCTTCAGAGAGATCTTATCATGATTCATCTCAACAAACACTGATACCCATCTGCCACATACTACATACTACAAACTATTAGAACATAATTCTAAATAAAACCATTGTAATTATTTTCCACCTGGCATTATTTGTTTGGCTTCGGGTTGTACTATTATATGTATAAAACTCTATATATAGAGCTCTAGGCCGGCCGTAAAAGATATAGGAAATAATACAGTTTTCCATTTTCTGTTTTAGCTGTCTCGTCATTTCTTATCTTCTTCCTCTTTACTTTCTTGCTCAAGAACTCTGCAGGCTTAGCTTACAGATTTCTTCACAAACTACATCAGGGACTTGCTTTACCATTTGAAAATCTTCAAGACTCATTGTCAGAGACATCTTTGAATTTCATCCTCCAATGAAGCCACTGAAGTCTGAGTAGAGTTCTTTAGAATAGAGGATTGATGCAATGCCCACCACCACAGGGAAGCATCAAATATAATTGCTCATTGTTTAATTTGTTAGAATGATTAAATATAATAATTATGTGAGACGTCACAATAATTATTTAATTATATGAACCATTAAGTGGGCCATATATTTGAATTATTGAAATTTAATTATTTATATGAAATCTTATTGGTCAAGAAGAGATAATTTGATCAATCGCTTATGGACCGTTTGATCAAATAACTCCTATGAGCGGTTATTATAACTAATCCGTAAGAAATACTACCGGTCCTTACTCTTTCTCTCATTATGGGAGTTAGTTTGTTCCATAGAGAATTACCACATGAAAGAAGAAAGTGAAAGGAAAAAGGGAGAGAAACCGTAGTTCGGAATTCAACGAATTCAACATGAATCAAGGTATGTGTTCTTCTGATTAAAAGTTTGTGAGAATCATCTTGTTTAAGATCTTGTGGATTCAAGATTTATATAAATTCATGTTTTCGTTTCGATTTTTTTTACATAATTTATGATGCGAGTTCTTGCAAGAGTTAGAGAACTCATAATGCATGTTGCGAATTCTTGTAAGAAAGTAGAGAATTTATGCTTATTTGAAAGTTCTTGTTTAGAATATGAGAACTCCTTATCTTACATATTTCCTATATTCTTCCTATCATGTCTATCTCTTCGAGATTATAATTTCTAATTTTCTTCAGAAATGCGCTTTATCAAATGCGAACAGTAGTTGTCTTTGAATAACAGACAAGCAATGGTTAAGTGTTCCATGAATGAATATATGCATATTGTGTTAAATGGTTAGTGTTGCTGAATTCTATCTGTACTCATACAGTGACTATATTGTGTGTTAATTAGCTCTATCATGAATTGAATCAAAATAATGAGCATAATATTTGCTTTTGTCTTACAAATATGCATACAGAATTTGGTTCCATGTGTAGGAACTTGGTAAGCAACGTGATGCAACAAAATTTTATCTGTGAGTGCTTTTCCCTGTGCTTGATCAACTGAATACATGCATCACTTTCTATTTGGGATAGCCTGTGTTTATTGGATGAATGTATAGTACTTCTTTCATCCTCCAGACTTGCTCGACACCACCTTATCATCCTTTATCGCCACTTCCCCATATACTCGCGTGCGACGGTCTTCCTTTCCTATAGCAGGAGTCCCATTCTTACGATTCCAATCTGCATCTGCTTATTCGAAGAATGTGCTATGTTTGGTCAAGGCTTCTTTGCGGATGTCTTTCTACTACTGTTTAGCGCTTCTAGTATAAAAGTTAAAAATTTTTACTCAAAGCTGCTTTAAGAAGATCAAAACGTAACATATTGGGGTTTTATGCTTTATATGGTCTTAGTGAATAATCAGAAAAAATGCCTAAGTGTTTGACATCTCTTTATGATGAATAATAGCTTGAAAATTGAAGAAAGATGGATATTATGTGTGGGGATGCTGTGTAATGAAAATCCTTGTACTGCTCTTGTTCAGAGGAATCGATCAATTTGCCCATGTCTTGATTGCCATTCTGTAAACAAGAAAGCTTCCAGTTCTTCATAACCTTCCTCTCCATTGCTTTCGCCACCTGATGATAAGATCATTTCTATTTCAATAACTTGCTCAATATATCACTAAAAATTTAAACTTTGAGACTTACAGAGACTTCATCCTGTGACCATTCATCCACCAAATATAACTATTGAATACTATGATATCAACCCCAATCCAATACTTAGCATGCTTTGAGATTGAATCCACTCTTAATATTCTGTCTCTGGAGTTTGAGATGATATTTTCATCAGAATTGGACTGAACAAGGAAAGGTGCCCAATAAAACTCAAGTGAGGCATTGTAATCCTGAAATTGCACAGAACAGGAAGAACTTTCATATTACTAATGTCTTGATTAGTTGCAGAGAAAAGTAACTACAGATCTGGACTACCTCAGCCTTGAATACCGACAGAGCTTGATCGAGCTTCATCGATTTCTTATCAGATGGAATAACATACTCCACCATGCATACAAGTGACTGCCATTGCTGTCTTTGCAGTGAATCTCCAGCAAACATCAGCCTCTTTCCTCTCAGTTTCTCAAGCAGATCTGTAGGATTAAATCTGCAACAAAATGCAGATATCATGAGCTCCTGTGAAGGACTATGAAAAAAGTTCGTTATTTGTGTTTGATCGTATTTGGCACAATCTATAAATAGCTCTAGTTTAATTAATTTTTATTAATTTGTATAATTAATGAGTTAAGAACTTACATGGCCTTAGTTGATTGCGTTCAGCTCAATAATAGATATTTACATAGATGTATAAATACACATACATGTGAATGTATATTCCATAATTTATATATGACTTATATGTTGTGAATAGCTCTTGTTAGATTTGACCCTCCAACTCATGTTCGAATCCCCTCTCATGCGGCGTGACCCCTTAAGTAGGAAGAAAATAACCACGGGACCTGCACCTGTGGGGCTGGTTGTTGGTCGTCTTGCCGAGGGATTACTTAAGCCACCAAGCGCCTCATAAGGGGGTGGCAACGGGTAGATACTCATGTTTCAAAAAATACACGAGCCGAGCAAAAATAGAAAATTTTGGTTTGTTTGCTAGGAGAGCCAAGCCGAAAACCACTTGAGCTCGCTCAAATTCAGCTCTTTTACACCCCTATTTATGTGTTCTTATTTTTAATTGTGAATTGAGTATAATTACAATAACCTTGGTAAAATGCAATCATCAGGTTTCCACTCCCAGTACAAGTATTCACTATCCTTCCTTCCATTCTTCAAGCATGCTACTTGATTATCCAAGTATGGACAGCTCTCATCAGTATAAAAAGGCTTTGCTGAAGCATTGAAAACCCAATTTCCCTCTTCAATTCTGCAGTCGTTAGGATCAAAATTTATCTTATCTTCATCGATGAAATCATCTTCTGCCACAGTATTTTGCTTCTCCTTATCCTCTGATGATCAGAACAAAATAATATAAAAAAAAACGTATCGGATGTGTATGTAATGGTGCAAAATATTGAGAAGTAATGGTTACCTGCGGAATTTTTACTGGAATTAGAGATTGTGTGTTTTCTGGAGCAGGATTTGAGCTTAAAGCCAGTGATTGAACTGAGATCCTCAGTAAATATTAGAACTGCAAACACCACTGTGCAAATGATGATGGCCATGATTGAGAGTGGAAGCTTTCCCATTGGAATCTTCATTGTGTTACTGATGAAAAAAATATCAGGAAAAAGATAAACTTTAGTTCTTAAAGAATTGCTCTTTGGTTATTGAGTAGGAGTGAAGTTAAAGCAAAATAGACTGCTCTCCCAATCGCTGCTCATTGCTTTCAAAATAAATAATTTTATTTAGGTTGAAAGCTCATTATAATAGTAGAAAATGATGTTTCTCCCACTCTGAAATTATATCATATTCTTTGTAGAAAATTGTCTGAGAATGTTCTGATTTTTATAATTGATGAAATTAATAATTTTGTAATGGTTATCAATTTGTAGATTTGATGATTATCTAAGATAGGTAACACTAACATTTCATGTAATTTACAACTTGACCTATTTTTGGCATATGAAAGTGATTTTTCCGCTATCAATCTATCATTTGTGTGCAACCAACTATTCGGAAAGACGAGTTCAAATCAGGTTGGCCTAATTCAAGTCAAGTTGGCTTGGTTTAAGCTAAGTCGACCCGGTTCAAATCAACTTATTGGTAACTCAAGAGAAACTTATCAAGTCAATAAATAAACTCGCGCCAAGTGGGCGGGCATAGCTTATGAAGTCGATCCCAACGACTCGATAAATAAATCCTAGGAATGAAGCTGTGGGGATGCGAATTTTTATAATCAAGCTTATTCTAATAAAATCCTAGGAATTTTCACTATAGAATTCTATCTTTCTCTCTATTTTTCAAAACCTTTTGTGCACATATAAATTTATTTTCTAATATATATACAACCAAAGCTTATATATTCTACAGTTAGTTATGCCAAGTAAGATTATATATATATTCTCCAATTAATTAAGCTTAGATAGTATTTAAAATTTAAACATTCTTACTAATCATAAGAATTCATGAAGTTTTAGTTTACTGCAAATGTTATGAAAATTAATCAGAATTGATGTATGTCGAAAATAGACTTGATTGGACATGAATCTTGATGTGTATATGAATTAGAAACTTTCGTGATCAAATTAGGGTCATTTGAACTCTGGTTTCAACAAACTTATTGTCAAATTGAATGATTTGACGAGACAAACCCATTGACACAAAGAATGATCCATGTTCGTTGAGGCCGGATAAAGAACCTGAAACATAATTAAAATTTTCTCAGACATTAACAATAAAAGAATAATATATGATATTGAGAATCAATACCGGTCATCCGATGGAGTGTCCGAGATTTTGAATATATTTATGCACTCTTAAATACTATAAATATACACCCACCTTATGCATGAAGGGAATCTTAGCTTGAGATGCAAGAGAGTTCAAAGGCTTGAAGAATCGTACAGTGCCACTAGACTAACGCATAGCCACCACTGTCGAACCATAGCATGATATCTACCATAGGACTATCACTTGACCACAATCATCAGACCACCACAATTATTGTCACGAGACCATCATTCCTCGACCTCCACCATAGGATTGCCACCATCGACCATCACCGTCAAACTATTGTTGCTCGACCTCTACCATCAAATTGTCATTATTCAACCTTCATAGTCATACACCATCGCTCTATCATCTGTATTGGACTGTTATAACCTGTCATTTTCCATTGGAGTACTGATGCTTGATCCTAGTGATCGAATTGTCACTACCTTACCACTGTCATCACACTATTGATGTCAGACCACCAACAGATCATCATTATCCAACCACTATTTTTAGATCACAATTGTTGGACCATCATTATCCAATCGTTGTCGTCAAACCACTACTTTCCGACCACCATCTTTTAACCTTGACACTTTGACTATCATCTCTCGATTAAGGTTCTCTAATCATGATCCCTCAACTATGGCCCCTGACCACCATCGCTCAACTATGACCCTCTAATCACTCTCGAGTCTCACCTGATTACGGTTATTCAACCACCGTCGGTTGACTATAATCATTCGATCACCAGTGCTCAATTATAGTTCTCAAATCATCATCATTCAACTACGATCTTCTAACCACCATTATTTGACAATGGTTTTTCAACCACCATTTTTTGATACGATCTTCCAATCACTGCATCCTGACATCAATACTCCAATCACCATCATTGACTATGATCTTTAGATCATCATTGTCCAACTTAGATTTATCTTGATTTTTTTTCCCCCGATTTCCCCTTCTCAAAGGAGAATGATCAAGCTAATAACAAATAATCTTTTAAAGACAACTCACATGCCACTGAGCTCTTTCAACTTTCACAGAATTCATTCTATACAATTGTATCAGCACCATTTCTAATTGTGAGAAGAGCATAATTTTGAGTCAATGATCAATATTAGTAGAATTATTTCAACTCCATCAGACCTCTTAATTTTTTTCATTTTTCTACCTGCAATTTCTAATATGTATTATGAATCTTCATATAATGCTCAGACATTAACTTCTTCTTCTCCCATTGCAAATTTTTTGAGAAGTACCAAATAATAATAATAATAATAATAATAAACATATACTCACGCACACGTTTAGCTTAAGAATTCTCTAAGGTTATATCATTAAGGAAATATATTAATATTTTGATCTAACTTAGCCCGAATGGGTCAACAGTGGTTCATACTTATATTTATTATTTTGCCACTATGATCTATGTGGTCAAATCTAATCAAGCCGTAGAAAATACTTCTCATCATAATTGCAAGGCTTTACTCTTTTTTTAATACTTAAAACTATTATAAATGTACATGCTTTTTTTTTTCAATATTACTATGTCTGTGATTTTAATAATATATTATTTTTTATAATTTTATTCTAAACATGATGCTTTTATTATGATAAAAATTTTAATTTATTGCAAAATATACAAACATTGCCTAAAATTCTTATAAATTTATATATACAATATCAAAAAATTTATATTTACTAATATAACATTCTAATATTGAAATTATATAAAAAATATCATTAGTACTAACTTATCTAAGATAAAGTACACAATTTCATAAAAAAATAGTTTGTTGCAATTCGGAAGCTTGTCTGTATGTTTTGATTATTTCAACATTATTAGTGTTTTATTTACTTATTAATATATCACATTTTGGATATTTGTTTTCTGTGTTTCTAAGTATTTCAGGTACAATATATATCGAGCAATGACTAAAGAATCAGCTCAAGATATAGTGTAGCGTCAATATAAAAGTTAGTCTGTATGTTTGCTTAGCGACTATGCACACACACATACAAAAGAGATTAAAATTACATATTTTAATTTTTTAAAAATCGTATTGTATGATATGTTCAAACATAAATTAATTAAAATATTTAATTAAATGAGATTAGTTAAAATTTTAGTATAATTAATCGTCTTGTATGACCATCACATCGTATAGGACGATCAACTATTTTAAGAAACACTGTACAGCCATCAAATCTTGGTTACATAAATTATACAGATTTGAATTTGAAATTTAAACTAATTATATTGTACAAACTTATTCGTACTATATGATTTTTAATTAAGTTGTCTAATTTAATCCCGAGAATTAATGAATCAAATCAAATTAATCTTCATTTAGGATCATAATATAAGATCATCGATCGTATTGGACTATCACCAGAGACCTCTCCAGTACGGTCTTGGATTATTTTGGACGATCTGTTATTCGATTCAACTAATCGTATCGGATGAATCGAGCATCGTACATTCAAAGAAGAAGTAGTTTAATTGAAATTTAGGATTTTTGGAAGCTCACTTTATAAACTCTTTTGTGGCTTGTGAAAAAAAAGTTTTTTGGACAATTAAGTGACGCTTTCTTTTTGTATGAGAGCTTGGAGAGAGTCCACATTCACAAGGGAGAGAGAAAGTGAGGTTGAGAAAGTAAGAAGAGCCTTGAGGGAGTCAAGGGAGTATGAGGGGGTTCACCCAATTGCTTCAGCTGGTCTACAACTTGGGTCCTCCGGTTATATTTTTGGTGCAGCTTTTGGAGAGGAGCTCTGGGAAAAAGTATATTTGGGGTCAAAGACTTGCTAGCCGAAGAGGCTAGGGATAGCATATTCATAAACTTAGAGGTAAAAGGAGGGACAAAATCTTCATTAGGCCGAGGAGAGATCTGCATCTCCGTCGGGCTGAGGAAGCGAAAGGAGGGACAACATCTCCGCCATACCATGGAGGCTAGAGGAGAGAGATTCTTCTGGTGTGAAGAGTTTATAAGGGTGATTTTTCACTTGGTCAAGAGAGAATGGATTTTTCACCTAGCTTTGTGCTAAAAGACATATATGTTTAGTGCAATTTTCAAAGAGGATGAACTTTAGGGAGTGGATGTAGGTCAATTTAATCGAATACTATAAGCATCGATTTGCATTTTCTTATTTTTCCTGTAGTTTAATTGAAATTTACTTAATTTTGATTAGATGTGTGAAAGAGGATTTTGGTGATTGTTTTTTATTGATCTTTGTTTTGAAAATTAGTAAAAAAAAAGAAAAAAAAAACTTATTATTTCTTTTCCAAATTTTTTTTTTTAAAAACTGTGTTTGTTTTTAGTTTTGTTTTGGGTTCTTTTATTTAATCCCTTCCGCCTATTTTAAGATAAAATTTATATATTAAATGATTGAAGGATCGTAGTTAGGCTATGGTGGTCGGAAGGTTCATAATCGGACAATTAAAATTAAAGAATATAGTTAAGCAATGATGATCAAAAGGATTATAATTAAGCAATGATTGCCTGAAAATCATAATCGGGTGATAAAAGTTGAATTATCATAATCAGGCGTCTCACCTCGCAGCAACTGCTATCATCACCGAATAAATCAACTTATTGATGTTTAATAAAAACAAAATTAACTTATTTTAAAGATAATTTCCTTTTCATTAAATGATTATATTAGTTTGTTGATGTTAAGTTACTTAAAAATGTCAACTGTTATTTTTAAATTATATTTAAAAATAATATTTATATTCTGTTTTTTATTGAACAACTTACATTTTAAAATAATATAACTAAATAACATAGATTTTTTTAATACAATAGTATTCAATCAAATACAAAATATTTACAAATAACATTGACTTTCAATAATATTAATATCATATTTCCACACCCCAAAAATTATTTATTTTACATAATCTCATTTAGTGGTTCTCACGATCAAATCAGTCAACTCTTTTCCTTCTTCAGCCCTCAAACTTATATATAATTACTAAAAAGCCTATAAAAGCCTTCTTCAGTCAGACCACCCACGCCTTAAACCAGAGCCAAGTAATTACTTAAAACAATGAGGTCAATCTCTCTCCTCTTCCACGGCCTTCGTCTCCGCCACCTCCTCCTCCTCCTCCTCCTCGTCGCCGGCGTCTTCACCTCCTCCGGCATCACCGGCGGTGCTGATCCTTCCTTCGGTAATCATAGCCGTCCATTTAGTGACAGAAATCATAAATAAGTTTTTAGTATTTAGATAGAAAAGGAATTTCTCATAGAAATACTTGTCAGTAATTATCATGCATTTTATATGTCTAGTGGTGTAAATATTACTGCCGACACGAAAACCTGACTGATACGAAAATTTTATTCGGGTCTATTCGTGTAAAATGTGATTCTAGTGGGTTAGTTGGTGGGCTTGTTTAGGGTAGTTGCACCTGTTTGAAAAATATTACTTGCAGTCAACGTGGGAGTTGGTATTATATTTTTGAAAGATTTAAATACATATTGCAAAGTTTTATATTCATAGATATTTAATATCTATGTATTTGTATTTATTTATATATTATTTTAATATTTATATCACATCAAAATACATTTTATATGCATGAAAATATGTATTTATATTATTGACAATGTTGATGTGATTTAGCATCTGTTTGGAATAGCTTTCTAACTACTTTAATTTTTATATCATAATCATATTTTACTTGGGTATTATTTTCTTGTCATTAAATTTTCGCTATTTTTATATATTTCTATAGCAGAAAACTATTTTTTACAACAAGATCTACTAATGTGTAATAGTCATAAGAAAACTCTTATTCTGATTTTTTTAAAAAAATAATATAATTATATTATTCATAGCAAATTTTGAAAAGAGTTGCTTCCCCCATAACAAATTTACAACCATCTTCACAAAAAATATAATCTCCCTAAAAAAATTGTTAAATATTTGAGTATTATATAAGTAATTAAAAAATAATAATGGTTAGATATGTCAATACACAAGAATTATATGATATATATATAAATCATCCATATTTAAAAAAAAATTACAGATTTCTTACATCTAACACATTTTAATAGATCCAATTGTAAACAATTATTGTTCATCAGATAATTTTTGAAAAGTAATAAGATAAATTCTCAAATAAAATTATAATTATTATTTAGAAAGCAAAACACTGATAAAGGTGTCTCAAACGAGATATTATTCTGTGAGGCATCTGAACGCATCTCGAGGTCAATTCGGACGCGCCACGTCATCCAATGCACTGTGCATTACGTGATGTGGCGCGTCTGAATTGACCTTTAGACGCTTCCTGACGCCGCACCTAATAATTTTTCGTCTCGAACATATCCTAAGTGCTGAATAAATCGTGGCAAGTTCGAATCATGTCAAGCTGTTTTGAGACATAGATTTGTTTGGGACAACTACAATGTTTTATAATTAGTTATAAAATTGCTGTGGAGGAAGTAACTTCATTAGTTTAAAATAAAAAGAAAATTAATAATTAAATAAATGATTAACTTTTTTCTCTTTGAATTTATGCAAGAAACTTTTATAGGATTTTTATCCTGCATTTGCGAGATAAATATTAATATTTGATGGAAGACATGGTTTTTGCTTAATGGTACAGAAGAAGAAGAGGGGAGGTCGCTTGCAGTGAAGACAGACGACTATCGTGGGCCTCAGGCGAACCGCGGCCACGACCCACCGGCAAGTAGCGGAGGAGGAAAGAAGACGCCGGCGAAGAGCCCTGCGAAGCCGCGGCGGCGGATGTGATACGATATGATCGGTAGTTGGTGACCGTCTGATGGAACCTGAGACCCTTGTGTTCATACTATTTCATCTTTTGTTTTGTTTTTCTTCTTAGTAAGTATATAATTTTCTTATGATTGATTGCCAAAGACTGTTGATATAAATAATATTAATATATTTACTAGAAAGTGTACTTTTTAGAATAGCTTTCAAAAATATAATAATTTTACAAAATACTAAATAAAGCCTAAGAGACTCTTTGATAGCGCCCAGAATTTGATTTAAATAGAATTTCATATAAATCTGAATTTCGAAAATCCTAAGGGGTCTAAATCCTGAAAATTGTTTGATAACGTTTATGATAAATCCTATTAAATCCCGTGTGAGTATTTAACTATATAGCTAATATAATTCATAAATCCGGCAAAAAATGGGATTTTGAAAATCAGAGAATTAGCATGAAAAGGCAGATTTTTTGTCTACAACGGCTTTCATTTTCCGTTAGATTTAGTTTTGCATTTTAGGCCGTTTGACTAGATTTCGCTCAAATCTGCCACAAATCCGGACTAAATCCTGCTACCAAACAGCCCCAAGATTCGACTTGTTAAGTTAAACTCATCAGATTCTTGCCTACTTGAAGCACAGCATAGGGTGATAGGGATTTGCAATCACTTTATCAAAGAAAAAAAAAAAGCACAGAACAGAATTTGATCTGTATTTTGTGGTGTTATTTTCATTCTGTAAGCAGATATCTGTAATAAACAATTTTCATGAGATTACATGACATGGAAAGCTTGGAAATTTGATGAATATGATTTGATCACTAAGCCGCTTGCTTTCACAAGCTCCAAATTGAAATTAAAGGCGGCTTACTTTACCCAACACAGCAGGCTTAAAACTCGCAATACCAGTAATTTCTCTTCCAGTCACCAAGCTATTGATGTCATAAGTTCCTTCATAAGAGAATATTGGCTCCAGATCACAGAAAGCCTGACATCAGTGCACAAATTACATGAAAAGTAGATTCAGAACAGTATAAATCATAAGAGAGTTTGCAAAATTGTTCTCCAATGATGAAAAATAAAGTTCAATGGAAGAAAAATGAGAGGGCAGTGGTGGAAACCAGGATGAGCCTTACTGGCCCTGAAATCATATCTAGTTCTAGCACTGGCATCAAATATGCATAATTTTATTAATGTGCAATTACTACAAGTATGGTTGAAGTGGAGGAATGCAGCGGGCTTGTTGTGTGATAGAAAAGTTCCCCTCAAATTTAAGGGAAAATTCTATAAGATGATGGTGAGGTCTGCAATGCTTTATGATGCCGAATGTTGGCCATTAAAAAAGAAGCATAATACTAAGTTAAGTGTTGTAGAGATGCGGAAGCTCAGGTGGATGAGTGGTTTTACCCTTAGAGATAGGATACGAAATGAGCATGTACGTGAAAAGGTTGGAGTAGCGCCAGTGAAAGATAAGATTAGATAGAGTCGCCTTAGATGGTTTGGTCGCATAAAACGGCGGCCTTCCCATGACCCAGTTTAGAGGTATTAGATTTGACTTATGTTAAGAAAGGTAGAGGTAGTAGACCTAAAAAGACTTGGTTAGAAAATATTAGAAATGAACTTTCTTTATTAGATTTAAACGCGAATTTGACTTTTAACAGGACACAATGGCGAAAAAAGTTTCATGTAGCCGACCCCACATAGTGAGACAAAAGCTTAATGTTTTTGTTGTTGTTGTTGTTGCAATTACTACAAGTAATCACATAAAATTCCATGAAATATCTCTAGTCACTGTAAGCTTGTCAATCATTTGACATGCTAACTCAAAGATCTCTTACTGTGGTGAAAAAACAATCAAGAAAAGCTAACCTTTGCCACTAAAAAGTCAGCCAAGATACCATTTCCACCAAGCAATTCTCTACCAAGAGAAACAGTTTCCCTAGCCGTTTTGGAGGTCCATGCCTGAGGAATTGAACAGCCATCTTCAGTCTGGCATATTAGTATAAAATTTTAATGACTTGGTGAAGAACTGGTTAACCTTTCCCAAGCTAGCCTGACCAGAAGTCATCTTTCCTGATTCATACAACTTGCAAAGACGCCAACCAACAAGAAGCATGGCTTGAATGTTTCCGAGCATGCGAGATAGTTTTAACTGGTTGATTTGGAATGCGGCGAGCGGAGCTCCAAACTGTTTCCTCTCTTTCAGATACCTGATTGGTTGATCGATTGATGCGTCAAGTTGATAATAGCAAGAAAATTTCAAATCAAGATAATAATTGCAAGATCAGATCGTTACCGATGGCACATGTCGAACACACCCATTGAAATTCCAATGGGCTGCCATGCAACCATAACGCGAGAAACGGCAAGTACCTGCATGTAAAAATCATCCATAAATGAAGAGCTTTACATTATAAAAAATGAATGCAAACCTATAGTTGACACTATTATATCAAATAATGCAGTGTTAAATATATGCAGGACACGATACAAATCCCACACAGGCTGAACACACCATCAATGTATCATATTTAAAAAAATATAAATTAGTATGTCATATTTGAAGAGCTTTGAATGATGATTAGTATATCATATTTTAGCTGAATATAGAATATGTAACTAGCACATTTATGTCATATATTTTCAATAATATATGTCTCATGTTCCTATTATATCGCGTATGCGCTCCCATATATGTATCAATGCATCATAGATACAAATCTTAGGTAAGTAGATACTGTGAAATCATCTATTTCTCATTCAAAGCACAAGAGTCTATATTAGTACTGCTTTATTACTCGGGAATCAACCCTGCCATTTGCAAGATATCATTATAATGAATTTAGGAAGAAATTTCAGGCCTAAAAGATGACAAAATTCTCTATCAAACAGAAAATTTTTAACTTTGCAAAGTTGCACTTTAATTCCTTTCTCAAAAATCAATTTTTGGAACATTGTGAAATCTTTAATTTCCCTAAAAAAAAATATGATTTATTAACATTTACTATAGAAGGAGATCTAGCAGCATCACAAGAACTTAACCTTGCTGGTATCCTGAAATGAATTGACACCAGGTAACCTATCCTCATCTGGGACAAATACTTTCTTTAATACAATATCTCCATTCTGAACAATTCTTAGGCCAATTTTGTTCTCTATTTTGGTAGCACTCAAACCAGGGGAACCCTTCTTCACAATAAAGCTGAAACCATAAAAACAAAAACAATGGATGATTTCAGTCCTTTAATAGTAAACTATAAGGACAGAAATACAGTTCAAGACTTCATACAAAAAACATTAGCTCCGATATCCTAATCAATATTTTGTGCTAGCACAGGTCTTAGAGCCATTGGATTCTCTATGAGATGAGTGCAAGATAAATTTTGACATATATTACACTCATCTCAAAGCAAATCCAACAATTCTGAAATCAATCTTGATCAAAAATTGGTAAGCACATCGCAACCCAAAGCTGAGCGTTATTATTACCCATTTATTTGGTTTGTACTTGTGTTCCGGGCAAAAATAACCAACACATCGGCAAAAGTGCTGTTTCCTATCCACCTTTTCTGTCCTTCCAATAACCAACCTCCATTGACCTGCTTCAATGCAATGGTCATGAAATGATAAGTATGAACTATGAACAATTATTACTTCAAAGAAATAAAAGAAATAAAAAAAAAAGATTTCAACTTTATGTAGTTAGTACAATTTTTTATTCAGTAATATAGGTTAGTAAACTGTAAACCTTTGTTGCAGTGGTACTCAAAGAGCTTGCATCGCTTCCATAGTCAGGCTCAGTTAAAGCCTGGAATATGTCAATTTAGCAATAAAGTTCAAGAAAATGTTAAAAGGACTTCAGCTAGCATTTTATATTGGATATAAACTTGAATTACCCAACATGCAACAGCACTAAATCGTGCTAACGATGGTAAGTATTTCTGCTTTTGGGCTTCTGATCCGCAAAGTCCTATATTTGATAAGAAAGGTTAGAAAAAAGAAGCAAAAAATTAAAGCCAGTTAGAACTTTTTAAAGCTTTTTCGCCTAGAAATTACATAAAAATTTGTACAGGACATGGGACATAAGCATTTTACCAATTGTAAGCATCGCCAATGAAGAATGAACCAACACAAAGGTAGAGCAGCTAGCATCAACTCTAGCAATCTCTGCTATAGCAACGGCACTAGCAGTGATCGAAAGTCCTGGACAACCATAACCCTGAAAAATATACCAGTCCAATAAAAATAAACTTATAAGTCAATGTGGATGGCTATGTAATGGCAGTACCTGTATTGTTCCCCCAGCAACATTCAGTGCAGCAAGCTTAGGAATAACATGGAATGGAAACTCTGCCTTCTCCCAATACTGGAAAAACCGTGACATGAATGAGTCTTGCATAACCAACGGCAGTTCAGAATATTAAATGTGCACACGAAATTATTAGGGACAATTCTAACAAAAATTAACCAAAAAAAATCAATTTGGCTTTACCAAAAATTAACTTGTAATAGAGATGGTATTCCATTATTGTACCAAAGGGAGATTCATAAGAGTTTTAATTAAGGCGCATCCAAAAACTGAGTTACCTTTCTTTTAATTCTCCATTTTTTTAGCATTTAGGTTTTCTTCCCTAAAGTGTAAAAGACAACATAAAACACTTTGAGATTACAACTTACTGTTTAAATTCGAAACAATATAAAAGCTTATGGTATACATGCTAACAATAGAATTAATGTGTGTCGGAACATTCGCGGTGGTAGAGGGATAAAGAGTTTAATGTCTTAATTTCGTACGAAAATCCAACACACATAGATGAAAGAGAGGTCCATTAATCATAATTGACACCAAATTTTTTATGTGAAAAACTTAGGATAGCGTCTGGCCAAATTAAAATGATTATACTAGTGTTTGTCATTGATTACAAATGATGTCTTTCCTCAAAGGAAGGCATTAGGACAATGTAGCAAATAAACATCATATAGAGTACATTATATGGTTGGAATTAGAAGAATACAATAAAATAAAAGTTGTTCTCAAGAGAATGTTGACATGTTCTTTTCGTCAGAAGGATCGTAGTCAACAATGGTGGCAGGAGGGACCGTAGTCTGGTGACTAAGGGCATTGTGAGCGCTGCATTGGATTCTTGCTATAGGATAATGTAACATATATACATCATAGTCTACGGTATTTCATTGGGGCTGGCCCAATTTTTGTTTGCTACATTGTCCCTTTGAAATGAAATGGACCGTAGTCTGGCCCCTTTGACCTCCAACCCAAAATATGAAAATATATTTTAAAATGAAATATTTGAATTTATGTTTGAGCTGGAGCGCTGCGGCACTAACAATGTTTTTATATACATTTTATTTTAAATCTCTATGTCATCACCCCTCACCCTCCCTCATTCTCTTTTCTTGGATGGGAAGAAACCAAAGGGGGGAGAGGAAGAGAGAGAGAGAGAGAGAGGAGAGAGAGAGAAAGTAATTCGGGGAATTTTCATCCACCATTCCTTCTACAAAAATTATTTTGATCGTTGTTAGTAACTATCCTCTTACTTCTTTCTTTGATGATTTTGATTTATACAAGGTTTCTCTCTCATAAATATGCTAAAAATACATTATCTCCTGATTTTGTAAGGTTTCATTGTGTAACTTTTGATATGTGATATATTTTTTGATCATTATGAACAATTTAATATAATTTTATTGCATTTTTCATATATTAAAAACGTGTATAAAAATATTTATGTGAAATGAGTAAGAAAATGTATAATGAAAATGGATTACAAGTGATGTACTGCGATTTGATAGATAGTAATAAAATGTAATATGTGCTTAAATAATTGATATAACAGATATGTATTGGAATGTGATACTAATATGGCTGAAAAGATATACTAACTAATATTAGATATATGAAATGATAACCCCACGTGATAACCTCAAGATTCATTGATAAAAGTCATAAGTAGATGGAGATAGATTGAGAAGTTATAAGGAGTTGGGACGACTGATCCACATGATTCAAGGAGAGTTATAAAAAGTGCAATAATTGGGAGTCATAAAGGGCGACTGATTAAAAATCATAAGGTTAATACAAGATTAAGATATCCTTAATTGAATGTATAATACAGAGATACTTATTACTAATATTGAAACTAATTAATGAATACTGATACTAATTACCGATGTTGATTACTGAATACAGATATTGATTATTGCATATTGATATTGCACAAATACTGATACTGAGACATTGATTTCTATAATTAATTACTATTACAAAATACGTATATTGATACTGTTGTTATAATTGATAGAGTGACATAAAGAATTGAATGATAAAGACAGAATGATTGGTTGATTGATAAAATATGATGACATGTGTAACATAACTGATGAATTGATAAAAGCGACCAGCATATATTGATTTATAAATTTCCTTATATGATTATAACCATATTATTTCTCTTTTTGCATTGCATTGATTTCAGTAGTAAGATTTTAATTAAAAACTGGGCTTTTATGCTCATTACTTAGTTTTATATGATTTCAGATAAAGATACATGAGACTAGACAGTAACGTGTTTTAGTTTTATTTTAAGTTTTTCAATTATATCTATTCTTTTGTAGACAGTGTTACTATTGTACATATTATTTCAAACTCAAAAATTTGTAATAGAATGTAAATATTGACTGTAGAAAATGTAATGATATATTTTTTTCTATCGTTATTTATGTTATGTAATGTCAAATTGATTTGGTTGTTAATTGAAAAAAAAATAAAATAAAATAAAATGAGATGAAAAGATAATAAAGGAAAAAAAAAAAGAAAAGAATATCTTCTACTTTCGATCTTGGGACGTAACATTGTAATCGGTTGACAGAGGTCAGAGGATCATAGTCAGGCGACAAAGGTCGAAGGGACCGTAGTCAAATGATGGTGATCAGAGGGATAATAGTCGGCGAGCAGCTGAGGTCGGAAGGATCATAGTCAAATGACGCAGATCGAAGGGATTATAGTTGATGAGTAATTAAGATCAAAAGACTGCAGTCGAATGATAGTGATACAAGGGCCGTAATCGAGTGATGGAGGTTGGAGGGATTAGTTAGCGGGCGACGAAGGTCAAAAGGATTGTGGTTGGCAGGCAACGAAGGTCAGAGGGATCATTGTCGTGTGATGGTGGTCGAAGGGTGATTGTAATCAAAGGGATTATAGAAAGGCGACGACAGTCGGAAGGACTGTAGTTGGGCATGATGATCTAAGAAACCATAGTTGGGCAACGGTGGTACAAGGACTGAAGTCAGTGGGCAACAGATGGTGGAGGGAGAGTAATTGACAGGCAATGGAAGTCGGATGGAACATAATCGGGCGACGAAGGTCGGAGGGACTATAATTGGGTGAAGAAGGTCGGAGGGACATTAGTCGTGCAACAGTGGTTAGAGGAATCGTGGTAGTCAGGCGACAGTGGTTGAAGGAACCGTAGTCGAGCAATATAGGTTGGGGGGATTGCAGTTGGATGCGGTAGTCAAAAGATTGTAGCTGGGTAACAATGGTCAAAGGGACTGTAGTCGAGCGAAGGTGGTTAGAAAGATCATAGTCGAGTAAAGATGGTCTGAGGACCGTAGTCAAGTGACAGATGTCGAATGGAACATGGTCAAAGGGAGGCTATGGTCAAAGGGACAGTAGTCGAGCGATGGTAATCCGAAGACTACAGTCTAAATGACTGTGGCTAGGCGATAATGGTCGGAGGAACCATAGTCAAAAGACGTGATTTAACTGAGATGACTGATATAAACACAAACAAGAGTGAAAAGAGTAATTGCGATGAAGATAATGATATAGATTGTAAACTATACCTTTATTAATTCAGATCCATCTAAAAATTTCATAATAGTGATTATGAGATCAAAGAAAGTGAAGATTTATCTGAAAATAAAGTAGATGATTGGATTGTGTATGCAGGATATCAAGTTAAAGGGAAACAAACCATTAAATTTATTAAAGAATATCCTACTAAAATTTTAAAGGGGAAAGACTGATATTGATTATATGAACTCAAGTGATAATGCTACCATATATTGCAGTGAGCAAGATGAGATTTGGTACTAGTCGGCCTTCAATCCTAAGGCAATTTCATCAAATCACTCTTTCGAAATTGGTATGCTTTTTAGTTGTAAGGAGTTTAAAGAAACAGCTAAGAATTGGTCAATTTTGACGAGAAAAAAATTATAAAGAATAATAAAAGAAGATGTAAGGTTATTTGTAGAAAGCCAAATACATCTCAAAACATGAAGACAGTGATTCATGGCAGATTAGATATTTACGAGAATATATGTGTACATGAAATTGTCACAGTAAGACTTCAAACTCTACAATCATTGCGAAGAGGTATATGAACAAAATCAAAGTCAATCCCCAAATAAAATGCAATGTATTTAGAAAAAGAAGTGATAGATGACTTGAGATTGCATAAATTAAAAGTTCATACTAAAAAGACTATTAAGAAGGCTCATCAGTTAATCTATATGAAGGAGGAAGATTAGTTCAATAAAATTTGGGACTACTATCTTGAGATTGCAGGCAGCAATCCAGAATCAACTATTTTAGTCCTTACAACTAGGAACCCAGATTTGGATGAGAGAAAAATTTATGAGATTTTATATTTGTTTTGAGGCATGCAAGATAGGCTTCATTTCAAATTGTAGACCAGTTGGGCTTGATGGTTATTTTTTGAAGGAACAACAAGGAGGGCAACTTCTAGAAGTAGTGGTACTTGATGACAACAATAGCATATTTCCTATTGCATGGACAGTAGTTGAAGCCAAAAGCAGAAGCAGTTGGGAGTGGTTTCTAAGCTTGTTAGGCAAAGATCGATAGATCTTGGAGAATCAGGCTAACTTTACTTTCATTTTGGATAAGCAAAAAGGTTTAATTCATGTTTTTGAGAATGTTCTACCTAATGTTACAAACAGGTTTTATGTTAGACATTTGCATCAAAACTTCAAGTTGACAAGATCAATAGTATGACGTTGAAGAATACATTATGAGCATCAAAAAGGGTAACAACTTGAATCAGTTCTCATTCAGAATGAAGGAGTTAAAGAAATTAGATGTAGCAGCATTTAGATGGTTAAGTGAGAAGCCTCCAAGTGATTGGTCAAGAACACATTTTAACTTTATACCCAAATATCCCTTTGTTGAATAATGTATGTGAATGTTTCAATTCACTCATGCTTGATGCTAGAAAGTTGCCTATTATGTCACTGTTAAAAGTGCTAGAGCTTTGGTTATGTAAAGGATGTTGGAGAATAAAGAGAAGGCAATGAAATAGAATGCAAAACTATGTCCTAAGATTATGAAAATTCTTGGAAAGAATATGCAAGAAGCAAGTTCTTGTATTAGAAATAAATCTGATGATGACAATTATGAGAGCTCAATACAAGGTTAACATGAACTTAAAAATATGTAGTTGTAGGAAGTGGGAGTTAAATGGAATACCGTGTGAACATGCCTGTGCTACAATTCATATGATTATGGGCGACTCTGAGGATTTTGTTCATCCTTACTACATGGTGAAAAATTATATGAGAAGTTATGAGTACAACACTAAGCCTTTAAATGGAGCTGATGAGTGGCCTAAAAGTAATAGGATTTCACCATTGCCACCAATGTACAAATATTAAGATCCCATTATACTTAGCATCAAGTCAACATTGTTGCCTACTAAGAGTTTAAGTAATGTGTTAAGATTTGTATTATTTGTTTCAATTATATTAAAATTATTTGAGTGGTGTACTCAATTATTCTCTTCTTGGTTGGTTCAAAATACCAAGAAACGTAGAAAAACATAAAAAATTTGCTTTATCATGGCATGGCAAAAAAGTAGAAAATTTCAAAAAGAAGTCCATTAAAAATAGTTAACCCTTTAATTAGTAAAGTTTTCAAGAAAGGGAATGTCTTTTAGAAATCTTAGCATAATAATAGCCAAATATTTGGTCTTTTGCGATTAAACAATCAGCGAATAGTTGTAAGCCTATACAACCTACCTCTTCTTAGGTATTATTGGGCTGAGAATGGGAAAAGTAAGATAGTGAAAGCACATAATGTAAAATATTTGGAAATTTGTTTGCCCTAGGGCTTTGAGTTCCTTATCTCCTAGCCCTACAAACCTCCTAGTTGTCCCTACACCGCTGTCTTCTTTTAATTGGTTGTTTGTTTAGTGAGCTAAGTTGATGATCTAGTATGTTTTCCTCTCAAAAAAGAAGTATATCCCCCGTTGACTCACTAGCTAATCATGAACCATGTTTAAATCATGTTTAGTATTCAAATTTTGTCTCGATTTGAAACCACTCTCATATCTTGCACCAAAATTATGCATTAAACCTAGATGTGCAGTTAATAGTTATGCTTCAGTCACACTATAATGCTAACAATAGACTTATCACTCAAGCAAGAAACAACTAGCATCAATATAAATGAGAAAACACCAAAATTATTGAAAATGAATTAGGATGGCACATCCACTAATCTATTCTTTAATGACTACACAAAACACATAAAATTGGATCGCAACTTCATTAGATGAGATGGTAGCAAAGAACATCTTGAATTTCTCATATTGAACATCCAATCTATTCATCTAATTGTGCTGAGGATGAATGGATGAACAGTTATAACATTGAAATTTATAAAATCTGAGGCCACTAATATGAAGTCAGCAAATTTTTTTTCAAAATTACTTCAATACCAACATGAACCATACTTACGGATCAACATAACAATAAAATTTTCAAGTCAAACCAAAAAGCATATAATTAGGCTGTGCAGACAGAAATTTAACTAGTGATATCTTCCATACAGTAATCTTACCAATAGAACATGAAAAAATTAATTTACAAAAGCTGAACTAGACTGCACAACACCTCACAGATGAAGAACTTTAGAGTATTTCCTGCTCCCCAAAAAAAAATCATATGGTGTAAACGGGACTTGACGATCAAAGAAAATACCTCTGCCATTATCGGAGCAATTTCTTTTTCCATGACTTTTCGGACATTTTTTCGTAGTGAACTCTCCTCGGAACTTAGCAAATCATCAAATTGGTAATAATCACATGCTGCAATTGAAAGAAAAGAAACAACCATTACAGAAAACTGAAGGTAAATCAAAATCTGTTATCCTACTAATGTTCAGTTTTTATAAATTAACATGACTAATATGATAGTTCATGAGCAAAAGTACGATTAAGGCTTCATTTGGGACGGCTTTCTTACTACTTCACAAAGCAGCTTTCTAGTACAAAAATTAAAATTTTTATACTCAAAAGCTATTTTAAGAAGCAGAAAGAAAGTCGTCCCAAATGAAGCCTAAATCTAATGCAAACTGATCATATATATATTCAACATTTGAATGATTATCGTCAACTCTTTAAAAATCAGATTATCCTGACATCTTACGATATTTTGAATTATCAAAGACTTACCCATGGAAGGAAATACTGTTGCTGGGGTTGCCTGAGGGAATGCAGCAGAGATCTCCAATGCAGGTAATCCAATATGAGATCTCATATTTTCTTTGGTATGCTCACCTAAAATGTCAATAATTCAAACAAAACCTTAACTTCAATATCCCAAAAAACAAAACAAAAATTCAACAAACAGTTTAATCAGTTGAGAATATCACTTTCTTACACATGTACTGATGATTTTACATCCTCTCATGGTAGTTTGCATAAACAGTGAACACAAAACAATAGGATAGTATTTCAATAAAGAACTGGATATAGGTAGTCAGAGCTGGACAAGTCAAACAAATCTACAAGCTATGCCAAAGATTAGCTTAGGATGAATTGGAGAGAATGCAAACTCATTTTGCTTCACAATTTCAAACTTAACAAATAAGTAATTAGATTTAACTAGAAAATGAGAACAGATGCAATTTTCTCATTGACATTTCTCTAACAAACCCTAATAAAAATCAGGAAAAAAATTTATCTGGGCATTATTTGACTCATGTGTACTCTCCCCAAAAGAAATAAAAACTAAATTTCTTATCAGCCAAACAAAAAAGAAAAAAAAAATATTTTTCACGCCATTTATACCAAACCAAAACTAATTTCACTTAAATTCCTCTACCATTTTCATTTTCCTTTTCATTCCCCCCTTTCAATTCCTTGAAGCCAAACAGTGACTTAAAAAACGAATCTAAACGCCATAAATAAACCTAAAGACTACTTGGAGGTACTTTGAAAGCTAAAAGCCTGCATTTTTTACAAGAATTTCTCCATTAGAATATAGCTTTGGCACCACAATAAGACGTCTTTACTATCTTCGTCAAAGATTGGTGCTTTCTAAATAATAATAAACGCAAGAAACCATTTTGAAGCAACTTTCAAGAAACCAAAGTCCACTTGAAGCTAAAAATATCCCTCGGCTAGGTTTTCGGAGGAGATAGAAGAGAAATTCAAATGAAATTAACCATAAAAAATTTTATAAAAAAATGGCAAACGAAAAAGCAAGAACCTTGCTTCTGAGATGCTACGGAAGCCATGGATGAAGGAGGAAGTGAAGGAATCGAAGGCACTAAAGCAAGTCTGGTTAGGCTTTGGAAGAAGCAGAGAAGACGAGAGAACCGATATCTTCAAGCCTGGCATACATAAAAAAATTAATTACGCCAACAAAGTATTGGAATTTGGGACTTCAAGTTTTATACGAAATCTCCAAATTGAAGAACTTGCGAACAATGGATCACCGTTCATCACAAAAAAATGTCAATGGCCTTCATGCATTATATTTTCCTTTCATGTATTATTAAAAATTAAAAATAGAAATTTGATTACAGCAACTTACAGTCAAACTTAATGTCTCAAAAATATGAACCAAACTACATCAAATTCGACTCAATCCGAGCCCAAATGGGTCTAAATCGAAGACCATGAGCAACTTTAGAAAATTCAAACCATAAATTGTATGACCAAATGATTTCCAAACGTGAAATGCTTATAATCAAATCGAGCGGCTCGATGAGACGAATCCAAAGAGCCCAAGATCGCAGAATTCTGATAGCATGGATATATTTAAATGCCCAATAAACGATCTACGAACAAGAGGATCAATATCAGTCGTTCATTCAAATCACTCCCAACATACCCTTGATCTTTCTTATATTTACTAGTCATGTTTCTCTCAGAAAACTATAAATATACCCCTTATTCCTCATGGAAGGGGACCCAAGCAAGAAAGAGAACGAAGAGAGAGAAACTAGAGTTCTCTTGCCACCGTACTCCTCGACCAGTATCGGACCACCGATCATTGTCGGACTATCGTCGAACTTCTGTCGGCCACCGACTGACGTCAAACTTCGACCCATCCATCAATATTCGTCAGACTTCCACCCTGCCACCAAATATTGCCAGATTTACACTCAACCAACAATTAAAGTCAGATTTACACCTAGTGTAATAACCCATATTCAAACTTTGTTAATTTTTTCTGTAGTCATTATAACTTGAAATCGCAAAACATCTTCGCTATATTGTTTTTATTTTTGTATTTTACTTGCACAATTATTTTCGTAATTTTTGGAAACCGGTAAAAATTCTTAAGAAATTGGTACCTATCGGTACAAGTGAGTATTTCGGGACCGTTAGGTGTCTCTTTTGCAAACTAATTTCAATAATATTTTTTAAATAATATGTTTTATTTTATGAATATTTTTCTGTAACTTTTTAAGTCCTAAATAATCTATTTGAATTTTATACTAAAAAAATTGATTAAATTAATTATATAATATTAACTTATTATTTTAAAGAAAAATATCTAATGTCACTAATTAAAAAGCTTTTAAATCCTTTTCCTATTGACTTCGGCTAAATAGAGAACTTTTTTAATAGAATAAGAGAGAAAGGTAAGAGAGAGAAAAAGAAAACTCATTTTTTAAGGCTTCGGAGCGATTCTCATCAATCGGGCTAGTTTGAATAATTGCTTGTCTAGCTGTAAGTAATCTTTATCCTATTTTTATTTCAAATATTTTATATTTTTGATATTTTTTTGATCAAATTTATATTTTTATTATCAAAAAATATGAATAATTTTGTATTGGTAAAATTTTCATCACGTAACTTTTTGTATGTTATAGATATCATGATTATGAGTATTTTAAATATTTATTTAAGATTTTTCATCTGGTGATTTTGAAAATATAATGCTTTTTGTATAGTCAGGAATTTATTTTCATGTCTAAAAATAGTAGTGTAGTAGAATAAAAGTCTTAAAATATCGTTTTATATAATTCATGATATTTTGATAATTTTTTGAAAATGTATATTTTTGCCTAATATGATTTTGTTCTACCACTAAGACATTTTGGTATCTTCTTAATTAAGCTCAATTATGCATTATTTATTGTAATGCATTGAAAATGGATGTGAATATATACTTGAGTAACATATGGTCCTTATTACTATTATAATATTATGATAATAATATGTGTGTGTGAAATAAATAAGTAATGACTAGTTGACTCATTGGTTAGATACTGATTGACCTGTACAAGAGGGTGGAATGACGGACTTTCCTTTAAATATTGTGGTTTGGTGTTATCCTCTACTAATTCATGTGATACACTAATTGGGAGTTATAAGAAGATCATTACTCTACCGATGGTCAAAGAGTTACGACTCTATTTGCTGAGCCAACGATTTACTAATACTGATACTAACACTGAAAAATACTATGATAATCATGACTTCTTACTTGTTTAGTGTGACTGCTGAAATGCATGTCCTAGATGCATTGTTCTTATTATTATACATATTTATTATTACTGTACGAATTTAATATTATTGTATTATTCTACTGTTGTTGTCACTAGATTATTATTATTATTATTTTAGATACTGATAATATTTAATACTATTGATTCAATATACTACTAGTAAATATGTGATATGCGGAGCATGTAATATATAATGTATGGATACCATTTGTACATTCCTATATGATTTTATTACATTGATTTGATTTAGATAGTCTTTATCAATATTTTGATTTGATATTTTATATGATTTTTGTACTGATTGGTATTACTGATATGATGATTGCTTTATAGATTTGACACTCGTATTTGTTTATTGGTTTACTAGCTTTCATACTATAGTGGTTTATTATTTCTAAATTCTACTACTATTACATGTGAATTTTTCTATTTCTATACTAATTCAATGATTATATGAATGCAACTGCTATGATTTAACTGTTGATATGCATATTGCTCTGTTACCGTACTTTATATTCAGTTATAATTTTGGTGACTTGTTGGACTTTTTAAGCTCATTATATGTGGTTAAATGATTTCAAGTCAGGACAGAGGATTGTGAGTATGAGGTTGATCAAGATTCCTTCAGGTTCAATCCATTCTTTTTATTCTAGCTATTCTTTTGTACTTAGAACATTATATATATGTGATGATTGCGTAGATCCTGAGTATTATATATGATTTTTGAGAATAAATACAAATATATACATTAATATTTTGAATTATAGAATTTGTTTTATTATTTAGTATTAATAGATGATAGTAGATATCTCTAATTGTTGTTTATTAAAAGATAAATGAATAATTCTTTCAAATTAGACTGGGGCATCACACTCGGTCATCGAATATCATTGATTCCGCTGACCTCCATTGCTAGACAACGATCTTTCTAACCATTGATGTCTGTCGACTATAGCCTTTCCGACCTCCATCAATAGACAACAATCTTTCTGACCACTATCACTCATCGATTACGATCCTTTTAACTTCTATCACCAGATAATGATCTTTCTGACCAATCTCCTGCCGACTACTATCATTTTGACCTCTATCACCAGATTATAGTCCTTCCGACCTCTATCAATATACAACAATCTTTCTAAACACTGTTTCCCACTGATTACAGTCTTTCCATCCTCCTTAACCAGATAATGATCTTTCTGACCACTATCACCCGCTGATTATGATCCATCTAACCTCCGTCTCTAGACAACAATCTTTCTGACCACTATCACCCACCGACTACGATCATTTCGACCTTCATAGCCAAACTATAGTCTTTTCTACCTTCATCACCAGACAACAATCTTTTTGGGCTTCTAATAAATTATAAGCTTTATAATTTCTATAGCCAGACTTATACACCTTGTGTAAGGTCTTAATATAAACATTAAAAAGGCAATAATGGTCTAAAGATAGACCATTCTTTATCTTTGATTAGGGATACACATGATATCCGCCCCCTTCCAATCAAGGCATAATCGATCCCAAAGGGAGTTGATGTGACCTCTGTCACATAAGTTAATAACATCAAGTAATACTTTGACTATAAAACTCGGATAAGTCAAACATTCTAGAAGGATATCAATCAAATTTTAAATTATTGATTTGAGAAATATGCAATCTTTATTATGCCTCAATCACTAGATAAATAATCCCAAGGGAATTCAATCTAACATTTTTCATACATGTTAATGTCATTGAGCAATACTATGACAAACAGTCTTGGATAGGTCATACACTATTAGTAGATCTTTTTGACCTCTTCCACACAGATTAATATCATCGAGCAATACTCTAACAAACAATCTCAGATATGTTATATATCCTTAGTATATTCTCTCAACTTATTCCATATAGATTAATGTCATCGAGAAATACTCTAACAAACAATCTCGTATAGGTCATACATCTTTGGTGGATTATCTCAACCTCTTTTACACAGTTTAATTAATGTCATCAAGCAATACTCTAAAAAATAATCTCGAATAGGTCATACATCATTGGTAGATTCTCTTGGCCTCTTCCACACAGGTTAAAGTTATCAAATAATACTCTAAAAAGTAACAACATATATGTCATATATCCTTAGTGGATTATCTCGACCTTTTCCACACAGGTTAAATTTATCGATTAATACTCTGACAAATGACATCATATAGATCATACAATTTGGTGGATTCTCTCGACCTCATCCACACAGGTTAATGTCATCAAGAAATACTCTAACAAATAACCTCAGATAGATCATACATCTTTGTGGATTCTCTCTACCATTTCCACATAGGGTGGATAAATAATGCTCTGATAAATAATCTCAGATAAGTCATACATTCTTGGTGGATTCTCTTGGCCTCTTTTATACATGTTAACATCATCGAGCAATGCTTTGAAAAATAACCCACAAAAGGCCCACCTATGAGGTAGCCTCAAAGGAAGCTAGTAGTTGACAACATTCTCACTTGAAAGACTCCATGAGAGTAAATGGTTGGTAAGTCATTACTCATATAATGACCTTAACAAGCTAAAAAGTCTCAAAAGGTACATGACATGTTTTCTCTAGGGTACAAGTTCATTTTAAATGAAAAATAAGTATTGAGTTAATACAATAATATCAAATTCATATATAATATCATTGGATTTATATAAAAAATTACATCAGATTCAAGTGTACATTCATTTTCACCAAAAGCTGAAATTAACAACTATATTGACTTTATTAGCTATCTCCTCTCTAATGAATCATGGTGATCCTTCTCTCCCTAAATATCATCTGTGACCCAAGTAACTCTTTTGACTTAATGTCCTTGATAGAGGCATAGCTAAATAGTATTTCATGTTCTTTATCTTCTCACCTTCCATGAGGGTTTCTCCCAATT